ATAGGGAATGTACAGCAGGGTATACAGAATGAAGCGGAACAGAATAGGGAATGTACAGCACTGTATACAGAATGAAGCGGAACAGAATAGGGAATGTACAGCACAGTATACAGAATGAAGCGGTGCAGAATATAGAATGTACAGCACTGTATACAGAATGAAGCGGTACAGAATAGGGAATGTACAGCAGGGTATACAGAATGAAGCGGTGCAGAATAGGGAATGTACAGCACTGTATACAGAATGAAGCGGTACAGAATAGGGAATGTACAGCAGGGTATACAGAATGAAGTGGTGCAGAATAGGGAATGTACATCACTGTATACAGAATGAAGCGGTGCAGAATAGGGAATGTACAGCACTGTATACAGAATGAAGCGGTGCAGAATAGGGAATGTACAGCAGGGTATACAGAATGAAGCGGAACAGAATAGGGAATGTACAGCACTGTATACAGAATGAAGCGGAACAGAATAGGGAATGTACAGCACTGTATACAGAATGAAGCGGTGCAGAATAGGGAATGTACAGCAGGGTATACAGAATGAAGCGGTGCAGAATAGGGAATGTACAGCAGGGTATACAGAATGAAGCGGTGCAGAGTAGGGAATGTACAGCACTGTATACAGAATGAAGCGGTGCAGAATAGGGAATGTACATCACTGTATACAGAAAGTGGTGCAGAATAGGGAATGTACAGCACTGTATACAGAATGAAGCGGTGCAGAATAGGGAATGTACAGCACTGTATACAGAATGAAGCGGTGCAGAATAGGGAATGTACAGCACTGTATACAGAATGAAGCGGTGCAGAATAGGGAATGTACAGCACTGTATACAGAATGAAGCGGTGCAGAATAGGGAATGTACAGCACTGTATACAGAATGAAGCGGTGCAGAATAGGGAATGTACAGCACTGTATACAGAATGAAGCGGTGCAGAATAGGGAATGTACAGCAGGGTATATGGTATGAACAGTGTGGAATAGGGAACATACAGAAAGGCATATGGGATGAGGTGGTACAGAACTGGGGTCAAACACAGTCACTTTCCCTGAGTTGCTTGGCACCCCCAACCATGACCTGTGCCTGCTGGAGATTCTGGTACTGTATGTAAAAGAAAAAAAGCCCTGTATTTTTTCTTACTTAAAACGTAAAGGTTTCAGCCCTTCAGGTTACCTGTACTTACCTTCACTACCTTCTCTTGCCACAACCCCCTCCACCCCCCTGCACAACTGAGTATTCTGTGCCTCAGTGGCTGATTGCCAGGCCTGGGCACTGTCACATAAAGGGGAGCATTCTATTGGGGAGGTTTGGAAGGTAATTAGAAGCTGCCACTGTTTAATACTGTAATTGTCAAAAATAATTACAGTATTACAAATATATATATCAGTAATTGTGGCATTCACCAAATTTTTACTGCAGGTGATTCTACCTGATGCCTTTGTTTTAAATCACAGGGTATGATTAACCACATGTGAATGTCTGGTGAATGTCACACTCATTGCTTTAAAAACTCCGCCCTACAGAGTTAACCAACACTGATAAATTTGGCCTGAATTGGGCCTCTAGGCATCTATGAACATTGGCCAGGAAAGTGTTAGCAGGAAATGATCAGAACAGAAATATCTTGTTTTTGAAGTTTCAGCCCGGTTCACACTGATGTGGTGCAGAATTTGCATCGTTTTCTGTGTGAATTCCGCACCGCATTTGAATCGCACCCCGTTCATGTGAACCGCTGCAGGTGTGTATGTTAACACCCCGAAATCGGTCTGCAAAACACAGTGCGATGTGCAGAATTGGATCGCATAGGTGTGAATACACATGTGATCCGATTCTAGTGCGGACCAAAAAAGGGTCCTGCACGTTTTTGGTGCGGATGCGGTGCGAGTGGAGCGGTACGGCTCCAATCGCACCTCACACAATTCGCATGTGATTTGCACAGGTATGCGATGAGGTTCCTGTGCGAATCACATGCGATATACCGCACCGCATATATGTGAACCCGGGCTGAAGGTAATTATCACAATCTTTGCTTCACTACTTAGCAAGTAACTGACCTGGGCCAGCTGATATGTACAGACTTGTTCGGTGTCAGTGACTCGCTACGAAGTGAAGGCAGGACAGGGCTGGCAGTTGCAAGGCATGTACCTTCAAAAGACAAGTCAACAGTCACTGATTCCATATTTCTATGGTTTCCATGTTCATTTTGTTGAGGTATATTCACAAATTGGGGGTTCAACTTCTCCATTTTCATTGATGTTGAAAGGATCTAGAATAGGACTTCTACTAAATGTCCCATCAGTGCAGAAAGTCTTGTCAGGTAGACTCTTGTATTATGACGAGGCTTCATGAGTGCATCTCTAGAAGAAGACTCTTACCTGAGTCTGGTGTCCTTGTAGGTCTGATCCCTCTGAGATGTTCAAGTTGTTCTTCAGAAAGGGAAAAAAAAAAAAGTCAAAACCACCCTCTACATGTTAAAAAAAGTCACACTAAGCAAATCTGATTATTCTGTGTTTGTGAATCTGGCAGCTCTGGCTATTTAACAAAATTGTCAAGCCTAAACCCCAGCCCATCCATTGGTTGCCTATGTGGTGACATTGGCTTCATGGAAGGCATGCTGTAGGCCACGGCTGACCAACCTGCGGCCCCAGATGGCTGTGAATGCGGACCAACACAAAATCAGAGACTTACTTAAAAATGTTAGTTTTTTTTTCTTTTCTTTTTTGTAAAAATGCGTTTACACTTAGTGAACACGCCGCCAAAGAAAAATGTGTCCGTGTCTATTTACTGGACTTTTGTAAGTGTTACCTTCCCAAAGAAAGATCTCCCACTCTTCACAATATGCCTTATTCATGTCATCAGTTTTCGGCATCATCTAGATTTGTGAGCGACTATTTTCAAGCATGAAGCACATGAAGGACAAAATTAGAACCAAAATATCTGATGAGCACCTTGAAAACTCATTGAGAATTGCTACTCCATCCATCCATCGAAGCAGATATTGATGCGTTAGTTTGTAAAAAAACAGTTTCTAATTTTGCACTTGTTTTATGTTGCCCACTTTTATAATAAAAAAATATTACAAAAAACAAAATTTTATTACTCGGATAGACAATGGCACATTGCTTAGTAAAACACCACACAGTAAACATAATAATCATTATCAGGGCACATATTTAACCCCTTGATCACTTTAGAGGTTAACCCCTTTCCAGCCAGTGTCAATAGAACAGTAAAAAAGAAAAAAACCTCAGCGCCCAGGACTCTCTTAATACACACACTATTCCCCGTGAGATGCTGCTGTACATAGGTGCAAAAACCAAGAAAACTTATATCAATTTATACCAGCGCAAACCCACAAAACAATAAATTGCATCACCCAACCCATAAAATTGATAATTAGTAAATATTACAAACTTAAAAAACTGTGACACAAAAAAATTTTTTTGTTTTTGAAATATTAATGAAAAAATATATATGATTTAAAATTAACAAGTCCAGTGACAAAAATCCCAAAATAACAGTCCCGTGAAAAAATTAATTATATTATATTTTCATTGGATTCTTCCGTGCCTGTGATACCTCCACCATCCACCAGTGCAAAACCAACATTAACCGCACTCACCAGATAATGGTGAGTCAAATGCCTTTCAGGGATATTAAGGGCTCCTGGACCCCCTTTACTTTGTATATGACCTCCAAATATTGCCTCCTCTAGGATATGGATACCTCCTCTGGTTACTCCTCTCACCGGATCCCCCAGGGAAAATCAGGAAGAAGAAAAGACCATAGTGTGATACCGTAGTGATTTCCAATCAAAAGACTTTCTCCAGACCACTCACATTTTAGCAGAATTTAACCCGCATTTTATTGAGGCAAAACGATCTTTCTTTAAAAACGATCTTTCTTTCATATACAGCGACTTCTGTATAGAGACCCCACAGCCAGGTATACAGCAGGATGACAGACCTCAGATGCAGACTCATCCACTATGCAAAGATGGCCCCTTGGAACGCACCGCTCGGCGTGCGTTCCACTCACCAGAAATGACGTCAGACGCCGGAACAGGCAACCGGAAATACGTCAACGCGTTTCGCCCCACCCACAGGGCGTTATCAAGACCAGTGACTGTTCTGTCTCTCCAATCTAAGCACTGAAAGTGTGATCTCTGTAACTTACAGTTGTGATGAGATAGCGATAACTTTAACCTCAGTTGGATACCACAGTCAGTGACTCAATGGAGATGATATCTTGTAGATCTTGTGAAGTTTATTCCATAAACTGAGAGAATCTTACAACAATGAACATCTGATAGGTCAAAAGATCAAAATGTGTCCTGCTTCATGAGACATGAGACTTGCTGAAATGCATTACTGGGAAGGGGGAGGGCTATCTATACAGCAGAACTAAACCAGAGGAAAGGGAGGAGCAGAGACAAAATATAAAGATCACTTAAAGGTATATGACAGTCATGTGAAACATGACAGTGTATATTGTTAGCATTGATCACAGTATTAGTGTCTCTGTGTCAGTGGCAGTTACTTCTTCTTAGCGTCAATTAGTGTCAGATTGCCCGCTGCAATATTGCAGTCCCACAACCCGCTGATCACCGCCATTACTAATATAAAAAATTGGTAAATAAAAATTCCAGTATCTATACCATAGTTTGGAGGCACTATAACTTTCACACAAGCCAATCAATATACACTTATTGGAATTTTTTTTTTACCAAAAACAAGTAGTAGAATATACACTATCGCCCATGGGCAATAGGGCATGTGTACCCCTTGGCTCTTCAACCCATTCTGGTTGTCCCTTTTTCAGTTGCATGACTCTGTTTGAGAGACATTAACAGCATTTTATGCTATTCACATATTTTGCACTGCTGTGCATACACTGAAGGCATACACTATATTGCCAAAAGTATTGGGCCAGCCCTCCCTCCATATCATGTGATTCAGGTGTTCCAATCCCCTCCAAATCATGTGATTCAGGAGTTCCAATCCCCTCCAATTCATGTTATTCAGGTGTTCCAATCCCCTCCAAATCATGTTCAGGAGTTCCATTCCAAATCATGTGAGGTGTTCCAATCCCCTCCAAATCATGTGATTCAGGTGTTCAAATCCCCTCCATGGACACATGTGTATACAATCAAGCCCCTAGGCATGCAGACTGCTTCTACAAACATTGGTGAAAGAATGGGTCGGTCTCAGGAGCTCAGTGTCTCCAAGCGTGGTCCCGTGATAGGTGGCCACCTGGGCAATAAGTCCATCCGTGACATTTCCTGGCTACTAAATATTCCACGCTCAACTGTTAGTGGGATTATAACAAAGTGGAAGCAACTGGGAACAACAGCCACTCAGCCACCAAGTGGTAGGCCATGTCACATGACAGGGCGGGGTCATCGCATGCTGAAGCTCACAGTGCGCAGAAGTCACCAACTGTCTGCAGAGTCAATAGCTAAAGACCTCCAAACTTGGTGTGGCCTTCAGATGAGCCCAACAACAGTGCGTAGAGAGCTTCATGGAATGGGTTTCCATGGCCGAGCAGCTGCATCCAAGCCTTACATCACCAAGTGCAATGCAAAGCGTCGGATGCCATGATGTAAAGCACGCCGCCACTGGACTCTAGAGTAGTGGAGACATGTTCTCTGGAGTGACCAATCACACTTCTTGTCTGGAAATCCAATGGACGTGTCTGGGTTTGGTGGTTGCCAGGAGAACGGTACTTGCCTGACTGCATTGTGCCAAGTGTAAAGTTTGGTGGAGGGGGGATTATGGTGTGGGGTTGTCTTTCAGTGGTTGGGCTTGGCCCCCTAGTTCCAGTGAAGGGAGCTCTTAAGGCGTCAGCATGCCAAAATATTTTGGACAATTTCATGCTCCCAACTTTGTGGGAAGAGTTTGGGGATGGCCATTTTCTGATCCAACATGACTGTGCAGCAGTGCACAAAGCAAGGTCCATAAAGACATGGAGGAGCCAGTTTGGGGTGGAGGAACTTGACTGTCCTGCACAGAGTCCTGACCTCAACCCCATAGAACACCTTTGGGATGAATTAGAGCAGAGACTGCCAGCCAGGCCTCCTCCCCCGACATCAGTGCCTGACCTGACAAATGTGCTTCTGGAAGAATGGTCCAACCTTCCCATAGACACCCTCCTAAACCTTGTGGATGGCCTTCCCCAGAAGAGTTGAAGCTGTTATGGCTGCAAAGGGCGGGGCCAACTCAATATTGAACCCTACGGACTAAGACTGGGGGGCCATTAAAGGTCATGTGCGTGGAAAGGGCAGGGCCAACTCATTATTGAACCCTACGGACTAAGACTGGGAGGCCATTAAAGTTCACGTGTGTGGAAAGGCTGGCTGACCAATACTTTTGGCAATATAGTGTATTTTGGTCAATATTTATGAAGAAATTGTATTTTTTGTTTATTTTTTTATTGGATATGTGTTATAGCAGAAAGTAGAAAATATTGGGGGGTTTTCAAAATTTTCTGTCTTTTTTTTGTTTATATCGCAACCCAGTGGAGATCAAATACCACCAAAAGAAAGCTCTATTTGTGTGAAAAAAATGTTATAAATTTTGTTTGCGCAGTAACGCAATGCCGTATGCAATAACCAGTTAAAGTTTGGAGTGCTGAATAGCAAAACATGGCCTGGCCATGAAGGGGGTAAAACCTTCCAGAGCTTAAGTGGGTATTTTATGTCTGGCCCAAGACAATTCCTCTTCTTCCAATGTGGCTCAGGGAGGTTAAAAGGTTGGACACCCCTGCTGTAGGCCCTGCACCTCTCTTCTACCATCTTCCAGCACTGGGAGGGTGATATCAGATGGATGGAAGGCGGGTTGTGTTGTTCATATTTTACATCAATAGTCAATGCATTGGCCTTTGCCTTAATGCGCTCTTGAAATTAACTTGAAATTAGTTTGAAGTTGAAATGAATGAGCTGCCAACATACAAAATATACATACACACAAAATGTCTAACACAACATGCTATGGTGTATTTCGGTGATATGCAACACGTGTGTGGTGCCTTAGTGGGTTGGGTGCTACTCAAAACGAATGTTGTATTGTACGTATTTTTGTTGTATTGAACTGCATCAGATTAGGATTATTCTGTAGTATGTTGACATCAAGGGGTTATTTACTAAAGTTGGAGAGTGCAAAATCAGACTCCCTTCTGCATAGAAACCAATCAGCTTCCAGGTTTCATTGCCAAAGCTTCATTGAACAAGCTGAGGTTAGAAGCTGATTGGTTTCTATGCAGAAGGGAGTCTGATTTTGGACTCTCCAGCTTTAGTAAATAAACCCCCAAGTGGCAGTTTTGAGCCAAAACAATTTGTGGATTTATGTGATTTGGTATTTTCTTCTGTCCTCCTCTCCTGTTTAGTGCCATGTTCCCTTATTCAGTGATAGTACTTGACAGAGACAGGGCTAAGGAAAGTGGTTGATTTACTAAAACTGGAAGGTTCAGAATCTGGTGCAGCTCTGCACGGTAGCCAATCATCTTCTAACTTCAGCTTGTTCTTTGACAATAAATCCTGGAAGCTGCACCAGATTTTGCACTCTCCAGTTTTAGTAAATCAACCCCATTGTCTTCCTACACTTCAAAAATCTAGAAAGACAGGCCCAGTACTGCAATTATCTTAACCTCTTGGCGCCGGCGCCTCCCGGCCCTTTAAGGGTTTCAGAAGCCAGGAGGTGGGGCGGGGTTTAGGGTCATGGGACCGGGAAAGGTCCCGATCGAAAGAGGAGATTGGGATCTGAGCGCCGACGTGTGCTGGGAGCACGCAGGGTGCGCGCTCTCAACACATGTTTTTTTGTAATAGAACATAAATGTGCGGCCGCTCGGCGTCTAGGCCCAGACGCTGGGAGGCCGAACATTTGCGCCAAGAGGTTAAGCAAGAATTGAGTTGGATTCAACTTCTGTGTCTTACTGAAGAGTTAAGCTGCCTGTGGATGGTGCCAAGTCAGCAGGTGACTATACTGTCTTGACAGACTGGGTTTAAGGAGGTATGTCAATGCATGAAGCTGCATCTAAAACAGAAGAACCACATGAGCCAAAAGCAATGGGGATTACAAACTTCTACCTTTCTTCAACTGACGTCTCCAGATAGTCTGTCCACTGTTTTTTTCAGCTATGCATAAAACAATGTTGTCTGAGGGTTCAGTCATGGTGATCTCAGTGTAGGGGTAGACTCTGGAAGGGCAGGTGAACCGGAAGCACAGAACCTGGAAATTGTAGATATGGTTTTATCCGTGTAAGTAAAGATATACGTTCCTGGTATCCACTTGTGTACTACCAAGATGGAATATTAGTAAAATAATGCCATATGTTTTTTGGTATTCTCATGTTATTAATATATATAGAGAGAGAGAGAGAGAGAGAGTATCTCCCAGAAGTGAGTCCACCCATCACATTTGTGTCAATATTTGATTCTCTCTTTTCATGTGACAACACTGAAGAAATGACACTTTGCTACAATGTGACGTAGTCAGTGTACAGCTTGTATAACATGGAAATTTGCTGTCCCATCAAAATAACTCAACACACCGCCATTAATGTCTAAACCGCTGGCAACAAACGTGAGTCCACCCCTAAGTGACAAGGTTCAAATTGGGCCCAAAGTGTCAATATTTTGTGTGGCCGACATTATTTTCCAGCACTGCCTTAACCCTCTTGGACATGGAGGTCACCAGAGCTTCACAGGTTGCCACTGGAGTCCTCTTCCACTCCTCCATGACGTCATCACGGAGCTCTTGGGCCCAAAGTGTCAATATGTTGTGTGGCGGTATTCCCACATGATAACGACCCCAAACACACCTCCAAGACCACCACTCCTCTGCTAAAGAAGCTGAGGGTAAAGGTGATGGACTGGCCAAGCATGTCTCCAGACCTAAACCCTATTGAGCATCTGTGGGGCATCCTCAAACGGAAGGTAGAGGAGCGCAAGGTCTCTAACATCCACCAGCCCCGTGATGATGTCATGAAGGAGTAGAAGGGAACTCCAGTGGCAACCTGTGAAGCTCTGGTGACCTCCATGCCCAAGAGGGTGAAGGCAGTGCTGGAAAATAATGGCGGCCACACAAAATATTGACACTTTGGGCCCAATTTGGACCTTGTCACTTAGGGGTGGAGTCACTTTTGTTGCCAGCGATTTAGATATTAATGGCGGTGTTGTGTTGAGTTATTTTGATGGGACAGCAAATTTCCATGTTATACAAGCTGTACACTGACTACGTCACATTGTAGCAAAATGTAATTTCTTCAGTGTTGTCACATGAAAAGATAGAACCCCTGTAATCCTATCACTAACCCTCTCTGTAACTCCAACACTACCCTCCCTGTAACCCCAACACTAATCCTCCCTGTAACCCCAACATTATCCTCCCTGTAACCCTAACACTAACCCTCCCTGTAACCCCAACGCTACCCTCCCTGTAACCCCAACACTACCCTCCCTGTACCAAGACTGACCCTCCCCGTGACCATAACACTAACCCCCCCTGTAACCCGAACACTGACCCTCTCTGTAACCCCAACACTAACCCTCCCTGTGAACCTAACACTAACCCTCCCCATAACCCCAACACTAACCCTCCCTGTAACCCTAACACTACCCATCCTGTAACCCCAACACTAACCCTCACCATAACCCTAACACTAAACCTCCCTGTAACCCCAACACTGACCCTCCCTGTAAGCCCAACACTAACCCTCCCTGTGACCCCAACACTAACCCTCCCTGTAACCCTAACGCTACCCATCCTGTAACCCCAACACTAACCCTCACCATAACCCTAACACTAAACCCCCCTGTAACCCCAACACTGACCCTCCCTGTAACCCCAACACTAACCCTCCCTGTGACCCCAACACTAACCCTCCCTGTAACCCTAACACTAACCCTCCCTGTAACCCCAACACTGACCCTCCCTGTAACCCCAACACTGAACATCCCCTGTGACCCTAACACTAACCCTCCCCATAACCCTAACACTAACCCTCCCCGTATTCCTAACTCTAACCTCCCTGTAACCCCAACAGTGACCCTCCCTGTAACCCCAACACTGACCCTCCCTGTGACTCCAACACTGACCCTCCCTGTAAACCCAACACTGATCCTCCCTGTAACCCTAACACTAACCCTGTGACCCCAACACTAACCCTCCCCATAACCTCAACACTATCCCTTCCTGTAACTATTACTAAACCTTCCTACCAGATTCTCAGATTCTCTGGCTTTGCTGGCACATGACCTTAGTGTGGGTCTACAATCAGTATACTACATCTACTGCCGCCTCTGCGCCAATAGTGAAAGGATTGCAAACACAGATAACGAGTATTGACTATTTTTTAAACCTTCTCC